CTTTGGAATTTCTTCTGACATACACAGTAGAGTTATAGCCAGAACAGAATTCGTCCTGCAGGGTTACAACTCTTCACACTTTTAACCTACAGAAAAACAAGCTCCAGCAAATGTCATTTATAAGCTGAAAAATGCAGAACCACTCACATATTCTTGAGCCAGCACTTCATTTCCCTCTACCTTAACTTGAATCCTGCTTCCTCGGGGGAAAACAAGGAAAAGCATTTCCATGACCTCGTATAACATTTAAAGTTCTTTAAAAAAGAAATTTAAAAATCGTGGGGTTATTGTGAGCACAAGGCTCCAGACCAGGCCACCCCTACACTCTGCCAGACTACAGAGGGAACAGAGGGAAATGCCTGTCCACAGGAATGCTGTACACATGGAATAAGCTTATTTGAACAGCATTTTCCATGCTGTGTTCACGTACCTTGTACAAGTGTCCTATCAAGTCTGGTTCTGAACACTGCTTTTTTAGAAGCAATTGAGCTCTCACCTAAGTAAAAAAGGGAAAACAAAATTTAAACCACGCCAGATACCAACAAATCCTCGCATTTTACCAGCACAGAAAAGGATTCTGATACTAGTCATTCATCCCAGCACCGTTTCCCAGTAAAAAAAAGGCTGCCAAAATAATTCCATCTAATCAGACAGTGCACAGACACATCCTTAACTCAGGAAACCAAGCTCATCCACAGCCCCACAGGAGCACTTACTGTAATTATTTTGGGTGTAGGTTACGAGGTACACGATGCCCACCCGCTATCATGTGTCCAGGTTAGTGACACCATTACTGCTGAGCCTCACTCCCTTGAGGACAGAATTCCAGCCTGACACACACCCCCTCCCCATCACCTTTAATGCTCCCAGAGCAGACACACCTGGGGGGTTCCTTGCCCCGTTTTCCTCCCTCCTTTCACTCCCCCAAAGGCAGGAGGGCCCTGGAGCAGCACGGGAGGACTCTGGGGCCGAGCGAGCCCCGCACCCCTCGGTTACAGCAGGGGCTCCTCGGGGCTTGTGCAGCCACCTCACCCTGTAAATCATGGCAGGCTAAAAATGGCTGGGTGACGAATGTGGAGGAGAAATTGTGAGCAGGGCACTTGCTCTGGGATCACAGGAGCAGCAGCCACGAGCAGGGCTGAGCTCTCCTACACCGGGGAGAGGCACAGAGTACGTCCATGTGTGACAGGACAAAGGGCACGGGCAGAAAACTCTTCCTTGGGTGGGAAACGACCCCCAGGCGGGGCCGGGTGTCATCTCTGTGTGCCATTATCTGAACTTTTTTGCTGTGGCCCGGCAGTTCCGGTTACCATGGAGGGAGGCAGCGCAAACACCATTCCCAGCTGGCACGAAACGTGATCCCGTGATTTCACTATTCATAGCTCTGACATGATAAAGCTAAATTAAGCAGGAACTCTTAACTTCTCCAACCTGCCAGCAGTGACTCCCAATCCTCTGCTAACACAGTTTCCCTGGGAAGAGGGGAAGGATGTTTCCCTTACGGCAGGAGACTCCAGCCCCACACACCCCGCCTGTCATCCGGAAACAAAATGGCACCGGCTCCTTCCCAGGCACCCCCTCGGCCTGGCTCCAGCAGGAACACAGACCAGATGAGCTCCTGGGCCAAATAAACACCTTCCTCTCTTGGGACTCACTACAGAATCCCACTGAGCAGCCTAAGCCTCATTCCCAGGCCTGCCCAGGAACAGGGGCAGCTCAAGGTGCAGCAGCACAGCCCCACTGCCCACCAGTACCTGTCGCACCATTCCCTGGCACCATCACCTGGCACGAGCTCCCCGGGACAGCTTTTGCAACCACCACCACCATTCTTCTCTATTCCAATGCCCATGGCCTGAACTATATGGCTGAATATCCTGAAATTCCTGCCTCATTGAGGAACTCCCTGTACCTCCGTAATTCCGAGGAAACCACACGACCCAAACCCCACGTTCCTGCCCTGGCATGTGCAGCCACTAAATACAGCTCAGGATATTGTAAACTTTTCCAGATTTGGAGAAAAAGTTCAAGGGCTACAAGGTTGCTCAAACAATTAATGAGTTCCAACACACCAACTGTCGTTACACAAAGACAAAGCCAAGTGAGCTGAAAAATACTCAAACTTCTGGTAAAACTGCACCGTTCTTTCAGGGATACAACCAGGGGCCACCACGGTCTTACAATGAAAAGCATCCTCAGGCTCATCCAGCCCTGCCCAGCATTCCTTAGTCCTCCCAAGGCAATATTTCTTTTCCAGCAGAGAAAGTGGGAGCAGGTAAAACAAATTTAGATCTGCTGACGTACGTGGATCATCACTTATTCTATATCCTGATGTTTTATGTACATAACATTTTCTAATAGCAGCACCCATGACAGAAGGTGTTCACCAGCTCTCCTGAGGCACATCAGCCTCAAACACCCCACCCTGAGCCCACAGGCCTGCCCTGGCCTGAAGGATAAAACTTAACTTTCATGAAAGAGAACTAGTAGTGAAGTTAAGGTCAGGGCACACGGCTGCTCTGAAATCCCAGCACACAGGGAAACCTCTTCCCAGACATCACTTCCTGAAGCACTGACAGCACAACTACATTCTCCAGAGACACAGAGCTCACGGAGAGGCAGAGAATCAGCACGGAAGGAGAACAGCAGGAAGAACCAGGGCATAACTCAGCAGAAACACGGGCAGTGCTCCCGCAGACACAGAGCACAGGCAGGGCCCCACTGCAGCCCTGACCTGCTCCTGCCAGCACGGCCTGAGGCACACGTGAAGTGCTGCAGCAGGACACAGAGGAACCTCGGAACACTCCAGGATAAGGCCCTGCCATGTCCTAACACTCATTTTTCTGTCCCTACAATGGACTCCCCTCAAGGCAACCTGATAGGGGAAGTTTCAAACCATCTGTTGGCTGAGTGGAGCCCAGGTTATGGCACCCAAGCCCAGGAGCAGCTCTCCCAGTCCAGCACCCACAAAGGGCAGGGAAAGCCCACCCAAAATGTCACACCCCACCAACACTGACAGAGCACCTGCCCTCGCTCCCCCCGGGAGGGAACACTCAGGAGCCCTTCCAGAGAGCAACTGGACTATTAAATTGCCTGTGCTCTCAGCAAAGAGCAGCCTGGTGGGACCCTGCAGCAATAAAAGCTCTTCCACCACCAGCCATGAGAACATCTTCCAAATGTTGTTTACTTCAGGGAACAAACCTGTGCTTGTGCCACAGCACTCAGTACATCAGGGAGCTCCCCAGCTCTGACAACCCCACGGGGAAGCTGTTGCACACACACATAGACAAACAGGAGTTCACCTCCCAGGGCAGGACACTGGGAACAGCTTCACACAGAGAGGAGGTTTAGATCAGAGATTAAGGAGAAATCCTTCCCTGTGAGGGTGGGGAGGCTCTGGCACAGGTTGCCCAGAGAAGCTGTGGCTGCCCCTGGATCCCTGGAAGTGTCTAAGGCCAGGCTGAAGCAACCTGGGCTGGTGGGAGGTGTCCCTGCCCACGGTAGGGGGCTTTGAAGTCCCTTCCAGCCCAAACCATCCTGTGACTCTATGGAGAACTGCTTATTCCAGACTTATCATGTCACCTTCTGGCACACAAACACCCAGAAACCCATCCAGGAGGAACTACAGTGACAACCACCTCGCGCAGAGTTTGGAATATATTTGAAGAAACCTCCAGCATGTTTATTTCCCTACAATAATAAAAACTAGAGAGGAAAAAACCTCTCATCGCCCTGGGAGAAACGAAGGCTCAGGGCTCACACGTGGGTCTGAGCCACCGCAACGCCCCTGCTGCCACATCACCTTAAGTTCTGCCAAACTTCACGTCCAAACAACACGATGCAGAGCGGTGAAGGCGAGGGCACAAATCCCCCCCGCCGCTCCGGGGGGAGGGCGGTGCCGAGCGCCGGTGAGTGACCCCGCGGGAGCCGCACACCGGCACGCCCGGCCCGGGGCCCGCCCGCCTCCCCCGGCGGCGCCTCCCGAGCCGCGGCAGCACGACAGGACCGCGGGGGAACCTCCGGGGGCGCGGGGGGAGAACGGGGATACCCCGGCATGGGGCAGGGGATGGGTCAGACGGGACCGGAGCGGGACACGGGCGGCGTCGGGACAGGCCCGGGCAGGCCCCACGGGCCCGGGGAGGCGCCGAGGCCTGGCCGGGCCCGGCCCCGCCACGAGGCACGGTTGGGGCCGGGCCGGGGCGGCCCTGCGGGCTGCGAACGAGCCCCGCCCGGGGCACGGCGGGGCCGGGACGGCGCGGGGATGGCGCGGGGGGGCAGCGCCGCGGGGAGGCCCGGGCGGGGCGGGGGGCGCAGGGCCGGGCGGGCGCGGAGGGCCCGGCGTGAGGGGAAGGGGAAGGGAAGGGAAGAGCGCGGTGGCGGCGGGGCAGGGTCGGGCACGGGGCACAGTCCGCAGGGCCCGGGGCCCCGCTCCCGCCGCTCTCACTCACCGGCCCCGCCGCGGCCGCTCCGCGCCAAGCGCCCCCTCCGCCACCTCCGCCTCGCGCACTTCCGGCCCGCGCGCGCGCGCTGCCCGCGCCGCGGGGGCCGCCGGGAATCGTAGTCCGGCCCCCTCCGCGCTCCCACTGCCCGCCGGCCCCACCGCACTACAGCTCCCGGCGCACCCCGCGCGCGCCGTTCCGCCGCACCTTCCGCCTCCGCCCCGCGGCGCCGCGGAGGGAGCGGCACTTCCGGGAGGGGGGAGCGGGAAATGGCGGCGGGGGCGGTGCCGGGGCTGCCCCGCCCGGCCCGGCCTCCTGCGCCCCCGGGGGCCTGCGGGGCGTCTCTTTGCCCGGCCTCGCGCTCCCGGTTTGTCCCACGGGCAGAGGGTGCAGGGCCCTGCTGGGCATGTGGACACCCCCAGCCCTGAGACGAAGCCATTGGCGAGTGGGTAGTGCTGGGGGCGAGCCCAGGGCACAGGGGCGAACCCGCCCCGCTGCTACCGGCGGCCTGGAGAGCGCCCAGCCTGGCCCTGCCCTTCCCCGGACGCAACGAGGCACGACACGGGCATTGTCCACTTTTATTGTTGGCAAAGGTTGTCTGGATGCAATAACACTGTCACAAGGGCACAGAGCAGCGTGGTGCCGGCCGGGCCCGGGGGCACCGGGCACACGGACATGCGGGGGGACACACGTGGGGATGGGGAGCTATGACCCCCCCCCACCCCGAGCTCCCCCCGGGGCATCCCCACGCCCGGCCGGCTCTATTTACAGTATTCACAGACGTTGTACCCAGCGAGTTAAATAACTACATCATTACACCACACGTCTGGGGCGGCTCCGGTGGGCTGCGGGGGTGGGCTGTCAGTCTGATAAGGTGCATGTTTAAAATAAAAATAAAAAACCAACAAAACGAAATAAAAACGAGGACAGAGAGAGAGGAGCCAGGCGTCCCCGCCGGGGGGTCCCGCAGCCCCCCGGGGGAGCAGCGAGGGTCGTGCTGTGACGGCAGCTCCGGGTCCAGGCGGGCTCAGGGTGCGGGTGGTGGCCCCGTGGGGGTGTCGGCCAGGCCCTCACAGCACCTCTGTGGGCAGGGAGAGCGCGGGGTGAGCCCCGGGCGGGCACAGCGCTGACCCCCACCCCCCTCCCGCCGCTCACCTGTCACCTGCGGGGGCTTCACCACGGCCTGCTTGAGGAAGGGCTCCTTGTCGCCGAAGGGGATGATGCTGCCGGGGCTGCTGCCGTGGTGGGGGAGGTCCCGCAGCTCCTTGGGGCCCTCGGTGCCCGTGAAGCCGTTCTCGTGCTTGCCGGGCTGGACGCCATTCACCAGGGCCGCCGCCTCCTTGGCGCTGTGGGGGACGGAGGGCTGGGGTCACCTGGGCCCCGCTGCCCCTCTGCCCCCCCGGCGTCCCCACGCTCACCTCGGCTGCAGCCCCTCGCCCGCCAGGCCCTTCGTGCCCCCCGGTGTCCCCGCGCTCGGCGGCTCCGTCTCTGGGAGCTCCTCCGCCTTCGGGATCGGCCCCGGGTGCTTCTCACGGCCTGGGGGGGTCACAGAGCCCCGCTCAGCCCCAGCCTGGGCCTCAGCAGGGCTGGGGGGAGCAGGACCCCCGGCACCCTGAGGTGCCCACGCACCTGGGGCATCCTCCTGCTCGGCCGCTTTGCCGTTCACCACCTTCTTGTCCTCCTTCTTCTGCAGGGACAGCAGGGCCGTGAGGGGCAGCAGGGGCTTCAGGCAGGGGTCTGCACAGACCCCCATGTCCCCAGCACCTCGGGACAGGGGACAGGCCCCCACCTTGGCATCCGCTGCGTCTGATTTGCGCGTCCTCTTCATGATCTCCTCCAGGCGCTGCGGGCACAGCGGGGTCATACATGGCCCTGGTGCCAGGCAGGACCCCCTCCAGGGAACGCCCTGCTGTGCCCTGCACCCAGGGGTGCTCCCAGTCCTCACCTTCTTCCTCTCCAGCCGCTCCTGCTCCTCACGCTGGAAGTGCTTCTCTCTCTCCAGGCGCTGCCGCTCGGCCTCTTCCCGTGCCCTCGCCTCGGCCTCTTCCCTCTGTGCCAGGGCAGGGCAGGGGCAGGTGAGACAGGGCAGGGAGGGCTGGGAAAGGGCAAGGACAGTGGGGACTGGGCAGGGACAGTGGGGACAGGCTGCCACCCTGGGGGTTGAGGGGCTGGGCTGGTCCTCACCCCTGCATCCCACTGGAGAAGGAACCAGACAAGAGCATCCCTGCCTTCCCCCTTCATTCTTGCCTTCACCCTCCATCCCTGCCTTCACCCCCCATCCCTGCCTTCCTCCCTGTCCCCTGCACCCCTCACCCCCCACCCTGTCCCCCCGACCTGTCTCTGCAGCCGCTCCGTCTCCTCCCGCTCGGCCCGGGCTCTCTCCTGGGCCTCTCGCTCCTCCTGCAGCCGCCGCTCCTCGTCCCTCCGCCGTGCCAGGGCCTCCCTCCGGCTCTGCTCCTCGGCCGCCCGCTCCTCCTGCGCCCGCCTGCGGGAAGGGGGCCCTCAGCACGGCAGGGGGGCCGGACCCAGGGCCAGGGGCGCAGCACCCACCTCTCCTGCTCCTCCTGCTCCCGGCGCTCTCGCTCCTCACGCTCCCGCTGCTCCCGGGCCTGGCGCCGCTTCTCCGCCAGCAGCCGGGCGGCCTCCTCGCGGTCCGTGGTGCCGGCTGGGGGTCTGGCTGGGGGGCTGGCCGGCACAGGGCCGGGGGCTGCAGGGGCTGAGGGGGCTGCAGGGTGCGGGCAGAGTTAGGGCTGCTCTGGCTCCCCCCATCCCCGCTGCCCCACGGCCCCCCCGTACCCACCTGCCGTCGGCTCTGCGGGCACCTTGGGGGGCTCGGGAAGGGCTGGGGGCGCCGGGCCCCGCTCCTCCTCCTTCCTCTCCCGTGCCTTCACCGGGGCCTCCTGCTCCCCCCGCTCCTCCCGCGCCCTGGCCCGCACCTTGGGGGAGGAGTGGGCGCTGCGGGGCAGAGGAGGCTTGTGGGGAGAGCCGAGGGCTGGGCTGGGGGACGCTGGGCGGGCTTTGGGGGTGGCAGGGGACGAGGGACGGTTCTTGGGGGTTGCAGGGGATGAGGGACGGTTCTTGGGGGTGGCAGGTGATGAGGGACGGTTCTTGGGGCCCGGGCTGCAAACAGAGCAGAAGATGGTGTTACTGGGGCTGGAACAGGCCCCGGGGGTTCAGGGGGCCAGGCAGCCTCGGTGGGGGAGTCTTGACCTGCTGTCGGCCGCAGGCAGGAGCCGGGGCTGTGCTGCCGGCAGCGACTGCCGCTTCTTGAGGCTGCGCTCACGGGACAGGGCACTGCGCTCCTTGGCGTTCTCCCGGTCCTTCTCCTTCTTCTCCTTCTTCTTCTGCTCCAGACAGGGACAGACAGAGACAGAGACCTTGTCAGCCCCAGGTGCTCGGCTCAGCCGGGAGCTGAGCCCCCATGACCCCTGGGGTCCCTGCAGAGGTGGCACTCACGGGCGAGGGCTCGGTCCTGCGGCGCGGCGTCACGTCGGGGCTGGCGGTGGCCGCCTTCCGCCGCTCCCAGCACCGGTGCGGCAGCCGGTGGTTGTGGCAGGGGCTGAGGGGGCTGGCGGAGGCCGAGCGGGGGCACACGGGCACTGGGGGAGGAGTGACCACAGTCAGGACAGAGCCCGCACCTACACCAGCTCCCCGCTGGCCCCAGACTCCCTCGTCCCACTCCCCTGTCTGTGCCAGGACCTGCATGTCCTGTCCCCTCCGGTGCTCACCCTGCTCCTTGCCGTTCCCAGCCAGCGTCACGGCGCTCCGGCTGCGTGCCAGGAAGGACAGGGTGGGCGTCATCAGCCGGTCCACGATGCTGCTCTCCCACGGGCTCAGCTGCAAGCTCCGGTCTGGGGAGGGAAATGGGCAATCAGTGCACCCTGAGCCCCCAGACCCCATCCCAGCCCCACGGCCTCCGCTGCGAGGGAACAGCTGCGGCAAGGCCGGGGCACGTGTGTGGTTCCAGCAGTGCCCGGAGCTCAGCTGTGTTGGGGAGGGGTCCCCACGGCCCCACATGGCTGGAATGGTCCCCACAGCTGAGCAGGATGAGGGGCCACATGGGCACAAGCGTGTGTGGGCAGCTGGGCACCCGTGGGACGGCGCTGTGGCAGGACGACGACGGTGCCCCTGTGTCCCGCAGACACCCCAGTCACCACGTACCCACAGGACCACGTGCCACTCTGGTGACTCCAGCCCCTCCACTGTGCCCTCTCCTTGTGCTCGGCGATGGTGTGCACCCCCCATGCCCCTGCCCTGTGTGACTGAAGCCTTGGCACGTGCCAGCTGCTGTGGGGACACCGCAGTGTGCCCTCACCCCACGGGAGCTGTGCCGAATCACCGAGTGTGCCGCAGGAGCCAGGCCAGGCTCACGGCACCCAAGGAATCTCCAGCCACACTACTGGCTCAGCTGGGCACAGGGCTGTCCTGGCTGTCCTCCAGTGCCTGTCACCAGCACCAAACACCCCACGGCGCACGGGAGGGGAGAGCACAGAGCCAGGGGTGCCACAGGGGGACAGGGTGGCAGGTCTGGCAGCGGCCCAGGGAGATGCTGCTCCTGCCCGGGCGGTGCCGGCAGCCCCTGGGTGCTGCTCCTGGGCCGAGCCCCAGCATGGGGCAGTGGGAGCTGCTGCGTCACCGCCGACCGCCTCAGCTGCTCTGGCTATTTATACCCGGCCGGGAAGGCGCCCATCTCCAGGCAACCCCGAAACACAACAGCCCCGGCGCTGGACACATCCCTCCGGCACAGCCGCGGCCTTGGGCAGCGCTCCCAGGGCCGGGACGACCTTGCAGCACCACGGCCACGGCGCTCCGTGGCACCAGCCCCAGGAGCCTGTGCCTGGCCCCGGGCGGGTCGATGACAGGCAGCCCCTCTGTGGCTGCACCTGCACCCACCAGAGCTGCCCTGGGGCAGGGAGCCAGGCTCCCATTCCCATCCTGGCGCCTCACGGGGCTGCCAGCACCCAGCTGCTCCTCCTCCTCCTTTTCCCAGCCTGCGCAGCCTCAAGGAGCCGCCAGCCGGCTCCAGCCTCCTCCTGCCAACAGCAAACGGCTTCTCCTCTCTCCGCGGGCACCTGGGGAAGGGGGACCCTGGCCTTGGGGGTCCCCAGCGCTGGGTGGGGACTGGGCTGTGCCCCCTGCGCTGGGGCAAACGCAAAGGGCTCTTACTTCTACTGGGAGAGTTCCAGAGGGTGGCGGAGGATTTGGAGAGCCGCTTGTTGATTATAGAGTCGACGTGTTTGGGGAGGTTTACAGCGGACACCGAGCACCGGCTCGCACCTGGAGGAGGGAAAAGACACAAGGGCATTAAGGTCCCAGGGCCGGGGCCAGGCCCCCCACATGCAGCATGCACGGCTGTGCCGGGGCACTGGGGTGGGAGCGGGAGGACACGACAGAGTGGGGCCAGGGGAGATGCTGGAGTCCAAGGACACGGCACAGAGTGGGGCAGGAGATGCTGGAATCCAGGGACACAGCACAGAGTGGGGCAGGAGATGCTGGAATCCGGGGACATGGCAGGAGACGCTGGTGTCTGGGGACATGACACACAGCACTGGCATTCGTCATGGCAGTGTCCGAACCCCACAGGGTCATGCTGGAATCATGCAGGGATCTCATCCTTGGGGAGGCGGGGCGGCTCCTGAACCATGCTTCGACAGTCTCCCCAAAAACAGTCCTGGCAATCAGGAGCAGGGTGACCAGAGACCTCGGCGGCACTGGCAAGCAGCCACCCTGGGGGAGCAGGGTGAGGTCCAGACACAAGACAACGTCACACTGGTGCTCGGTCAGTATGGCAGTGCCAAGAGGGTGCTGGTGGCTGGCAGCACCTCCACAGAGTGCTGGGATCTCCCCAGTCTGGCCAGGCTCCTCTGGACAAAACAGCCAGGGAAGCTCTGGGCTGGTGGAGGTGGGACATGGGTGAGTCAGAGCTGGCAGCAGCTCTGGCAGTGCACCCCTGCAGGAGGTGGCAGGGTAAGGTGTCCTCTTGCCAGACCCTGCTGGGTGTTGCACCACAGACACGTGGGGCTGTCCCTCAGTGTGCCACACACGGCACCTGGACAGGTGTACCCAGAACATGGTGCCAGCCCCACCAGCTACAGCCGGGCACACGCCTGCACACACATGGCACATGGTGCCCGTACACAGAGCCTGGCACACAACGCCTGTACACAGCCTGGCCAGGTACAGCCAGGAACACAACACCTGCACACAGCCCCACCAGGTAGAGCCACGGCCACCACAGCCACCCCACGGTGGGCAGACAGACCCTGGGGACACAGCACTCCCCTCTCTGTCACCATCCTTGCCACATAGTGCCAGCACCTGCTAGCACAGCCCTGTACCCTCAGCAGTCAGGGACGAGTGGAGACCTCCACATGCCCAACTCTGGTGCCTAATTGCTCGGGGTGTCCCCGAGGAGCCCCTAAGGAGCGGGGCCACCTTCTGCAGCCACACACATGGCCACGGTCACCCCCACGGTCACTGGAGCTGGAGGGGCCAGCGCAGCCCCCACCCAGCTGGGGCACAAAGGAACACGCCACAGCACAGACCCCAGTCAGAGCCTGCAGAAGCCTTGCACAGCTCCACAGCCCCTGGCTCCCCACAGCTGCTGGAGACCCGGCAGCATGGCCACAGCATTCTGAGGCAGCCAGGGCTGTCCCTCAACACATCCCTGTGAAGAGCAGGGACCGTGATGCACGGCCTCCGGCTCACACCCATCCCCACCAGAGCAGGGAAAAGCCAAGGGACCCCGCGGGTCCCCGGCACAGCCCGGGGTGACGTCAGTGTGACCCCACTGCAGGGGGGCCGCGCTGGGTGTGAGGGTCCGGCGGAGCCGCGGTGTCCCTGGTGCCCGCGCCCGGCCCGGCACTCACCGTCCTTGTGTGCGGGGGAGCCGTGGTGCAGGGCCCCAGCCCAGGACCAGCGCTGCTGCCGGATCTCTGCCCACGTCTTCTTGGCCGACCGCTGGATCGCTGCCTCGTAGCGCTCCTGCCCGAGGGAGAGGGACAGGATGAGCCCGGAGCAGGGCAGGGACCGGCCGGAGCCTCCCGGCGTGAGGCCATCGCAGCGATGGGGTGCTCGGAGGGAAACTGGGCAGCGACGCCCACCCTGGCCAGGGCACGTGTGCCAAGGAGCAGGGCACCACAGAGGCTTTGCACCGTGAAGGATGGGCACAGCAGAGGACAGCCACAGTGGGCAGCTCCCAAAGGGCTAACGAAGCATCTCCCAAAGCACTGCTGGAGCCATAAGGACTCCACAGGGATCACATCCCATGTGCCGCCCCAGCCCCCCCGCCCGCTGCACCATGACCCCCATTCCCACCTTGTTCTTCTCCAGCTTCTGCCTCTGCCGCTCCTCCAGGACCGCCCGGCGCTTCTCCGCCCGCAGCCGCTGCTCCTCCAGCCGTTTGCGCCGCTCCTCCAGCTGCTTCTCCCGCAGCAGCCGGGCCTTCTCCTCCTTCTCCAGCCACAGCACCCTCTTGGCAGCTGCGGGGGGCAGCGGGGTCGCACCCGAGGCACAGCCCTGGGCAGCCCCGTGGTGGGGCCGCGTGCCCGAGCCGGTGGCGCGGGGCCGTGGGGCGGCCGTGGCCGGGGCACGCGGAGGCATCGAGGCCGGCCGGCCAGCGAGGGAGGGGTTTGGGCCAGGACAAAAGGGAGGCCGGGAGCCCGCCGGGAGCCCGCCGAGCCGCGCGGTGAACAATGGGGGAATGAGGGTGGAAAGAGCACGGGGACAAGGAGGCCCCATGCGCACGCGGGGGCCCCGCTCGCCTGGTGCCCCGAGCCACTGCGGGGCTGCCTGGGGCTGCCTGGGGCTGCCTGCACACGGCAGAGCTGGGCACCGAGCTGGTGGCACCTGCACAGACCGGGGGGCACCCGTGTGCCTGGGGGTCAGCGGTGTGCCAGGGGGTCAGCGCCGTGCTGGGGAGGCAGAGCTGCCGGCACTGCAGCGCCCGCTCGGGCTCAGCCCATCACAGCTAATGGGATTGCCCATGACCCGGCAAAGCTCCTTTAGCCCCTGCCTCCCCCCATCCACTTTCCCTCCCACCTCGCAGCCCCCTCTGCTCCCCAGCCCCATACCCAGGTACTTGGCCCGCTCCTCACGCCGCTCCTTCGCCTGCTTGTGCCTTGCCTGGGCTTTCTGGGCATCTGCAGTGGGGAGACACTGTCAGGATACCGCCTGGCCCCCGTGGGCATTGAGCAGTGCCCGCGGGCTGCAGCATCACCAGAGTACCCCAACCCCACTGGCACCCACCTTGCTTGGGCCGGGGGCTGGCGGCAGGAGATGGTGAGGGGCGGTCGCTCCGGGGGGTCACGTCCTTTGAGGGCCCGGCCGTGGCACCCGGGGGGCTCTTGGCATCAGGGGGAGCCCCTTCCCTGGCAGCTGGGGCTGGGGTCTGGCTCCCGGGGGGCAGCGTCTCTGCCGGGCATGGGGTGGCAGCGTGGACAGGGCTCGGCTGCTCGGGGGCGTGGGGTGACACCTCTGCTTTGGGGTGCTCCGTCCCAGGGGGCTTGGGGGGCCCGGGGGGGGCCTGGTCACGCCACGGGGGGACACTCTCTGCTGAGGGGGCCATGGCCACAGGGCTGGGGGACACGGGCTGTCCTGACGATGTCACGGCTGGAGGGACGGGACGGTCACGCTGCGGGGGGCTGCTCTCGCAGGGGGGCATCACGGCTGGGGGGCACACGGGCTGCTGGGAGGGGGGCACGGCTCCAGGGGTGGGCAAGACGGTCTTTTCGGAGGGGGTGACGGCTGCAGGGACGGGCGGGACGGTCCTTTCGGAGGGGACGACGTCTGGAGGGACGGGCCGGTCGCGCTGGGGGGGGCTGCGCTCTCTCTGCAGGGCATCCCCGGGCGAGGGGGGCGGCGAGGAGGGGGGGGCCACGCTGTCTCCCATCGGGGATGGTGGCTTCCCTGCAACGGGGGCAGAGCAGAACAGAACAGTCTCTCAGTGGGGGAGCCTGGGGCAGAGCCGTCCTCCCCGGGCAGAGCCCTCTGGGGGGGCACAGCCCTGTCCTCCCCAAACACAGCCCTCAGGAGCAAGGCTGTCCCTGGCCACAGGGGCTAGGGCTGGTCCCTGGGATCCCCTCTGGAGACAGTGAGACCCACCTAAGCCCTGCTGCTGCTGCCCCCATCCTGGGGGGCACCCGGGGCGGGTGCCAGGCGCTGGGCACACAATGCACAGAGGGACCGGCCGGGCTCTGCCAGGCACTGCCACCACAAAGCTGCCCTTCATCCCCCGGCAGCTGCCACTCAGCCCTGCCGTGGGGGGACGTGGGGCCGGAGACCCTCCACAGGCACGGGGACCCCTCTGCTCTCCCCTGAGGAGGAGGATGGAGGGGCTTCCGCCGGCCCTGGCAGCACGGCGGAGGCAGGATGGGCGCGGGCCCCCTGACGTCACCGTCCCACGGCCCCCACTGGACCCGCAGCCATGAACTCACGGCCCAGGAATGCACATGAGGCCGCAGCAACGCAGCCCCCTCCCCGTGTGGGGCCGGGGGGAGCACAGGGCCACTCTGTGCCCCTGAGGGGGGATCGCCCCCCATCCTGGCCAGCCCTGGGGGACCCCGAGGGAGCCGCTGCATGTGCCAACACGCTGACAGCGCCCGGTGAGGCCGTGGCACGTGCCCTCTGCGGGAGTGGGTGTGTCACAGCTGTCCACGGTAACCACAGCAGTGGTGGCTCCCCAGCCCCCCCGTTATCAGTTATCAGCCCTCTGCAAACAAACCTTCAAGCACGTGCCAGGGTCCCAACCCCGACACCCACGCAGCGGGCAGTGCCATCACTCCTGCCTGGAATGATGCCCATCCCAGGACACCCAGCTCCAGCCCCACTGGCACTGGTGCAGTGTGAGCCCCCAGCTCTGGGGGGTGGGATGGCAGGACCCCAGTGACCAGCACCCGCCATGGGCTGATGTCACACGCTGGCTCAGCCGTGTTTGCAGAGCTCTCCACAGCCCTCAGCGAGGGGCAAAGTGTGGGCTCTGCAAACACGGCCGGCGCCGTCCTCACCCACCCCACGGCTCCTCACCCAGCCCACAGCTCCTCACCCAGCCCACAGCTCCTCACCAGCCCACGGCTCCTCACCCAGCCCATGCCGGTGCCAGATGAGCCGGGGTCAGCCCAGGATGCCCAGGGAGGCACCGTCAGCCCCCCCTATGCTCAGGCATGGGCACACCACAGGTCCCATGGGAGGGGCTGAGGTGCTGCTGCAGCTCCCCAGGCCGGGGCTGTGCCAGCAGGGTTCCCCCACCCCGGGCTCTGTGGGGACACAGCCAGCCCCGGCCCCCCCGCAGACCTTCCGGGTATTTTCTGCTGCAGGAAGCCGGCCCATCCCCTGGCCCCGATCCTGCACATCCCAAGTCCCCAGTGCTGCACCCTGTGGGGCAGCCATTGCTCTGATGCAGGGCTGGGACTGTGCTGGGGCTGCAGCTGAGGGGGTCCCCTGCCCTCTCCCCCCAGGGCTTGGCACCCGTAGGCAGCAGGGCTTGGCAGCCTCCAGGTGCCAGATCCCAGGATGGTACATGGGGTGGCACCACTTGTGTCCCAGCTGGGAGCGGTGACCCCAGGAGCACTGGGGTGGCAGCCAGCCTGTGGGGCCAAGCAAAAAGCACCAGGTTGATCCTCCAAGCAGACAGAAATACCTGCCAGAGCCCCGGATGTGCAGGGAGCACTGGCGGGGGACAGCAGGTACCTCATGCCACACCACACAGCCTGGCACAGAGCCCTGGGCAGGATCTGTCCTGCCCCAGTGGCTGGAGAGACAGCAGCACCCATGGCCAGGGCAGGGCAGTGGGCACGGCCAAGACCCCCAGGCACGGCCAAGACCCCCAGCGCGGGGCTGGGCCAGCCCTACTGCCATCTGTCCCTGTCGCTGCTCCAGCGCGGCAGCTGCCCTGAAACCCAACGCTGCCTGCACCCAGTGCGGGCGTCCCCTCTCCCCCGGCCAGGGCATTCCACAGGGATTAGCTCCCGGCCCCCCAGACACGCAGGCACGGCCGCCCCGCAGCCCCCGGTCCCGGTGAGCCTGCGCGGCACCGGCCCCACTGGGACGGCGGCACCGGTCCCGCTGCTGGCACTGGGACAGCGCCGTGCCCGGCACAGGGCGAGGTGCTGCCCTCGACGCCACGGTGCTCAACCCATCCCGCCCCTCCCGTGGGTCCCTTTGGTGCCAGTGCTTGTGCCACCGAGCACCAGCGGCACCTCCGGCAGGGCCGTGCCCGGCACAGCGCGGTCCCACGGCCGGCACATGGCCGGGGATGCTCAGCCAGGCGGAGGCAAATCGCCGGTGCCATGAAGCGAGAGCACATCGAGGCCCGCGGGCGCCGCTCGGACCAGCGGCCCTCGTTAACCGTCCGCCACACATCCCCGTGGGGCACTGCCCACGAGGACGGGGGGGCACCTACCTCGTGTCACCTCAGCTCCCCCCAGCTCCGTGTCCTCGTGTCCCTGCTCCACGGCACAGCCAGGGCCGCCACGGGCTGCTCCACGTGTGGCACCCAGCGGGGCGGGGGGCATCGGCCAGGGCACGCCTCTGCCCCAGGGGCACGAGGAGAGCAGGGCTGGTGGGTGCAGTGGGGGTCAGTGGTGACCCCTGCAAAGCCACACAGAGGTGTCACAGTGCTCAGCTACCCTCGCCATTGCACCAGTCCCTGCCGTGCCCAGGGACACGACCCCAAGGGGACCCCAAGCCCCGAGAGTCCCCGCTGGCCCCGCAGGGCTGCTCCCCACTGCCCACGGGGACACCCATGTGCCCAGTTGCCTCCCCCACCTCGATGGCAGCCCCATGGCCACCCGGAGGAGAGAAAAGATGGGTCCCAAGGTCTCTTGTTTCCAGCAGGTCCCAGTGCCAAGCAGGGAGGCAGCTGTGGCCCCAGGGCAGGGATTGCTCTCTGTGTTCTGGTGTCTGCTCTACCTGAGGCCACCGGAGTGCTGTGGAGTGCACCAGGGGGGTGCTTCACGCCCTGGGGGTGCTCCAAGTGCTGGCACTGTCCCTTATCCCACTCCTGCCTCAACCTGTCTCGGATGTGCCTTGGGGCTGAGCCCTGCCTGTGATGCAGCACCCCTCACACCTGGATGACAGGGCAGTGAGCAAGTGCCCTTAACATGTCCCTGGCAGGTCCCTGGCACATCCCCAACACGTCCCCAGCATGTCCTGTCTGCAGGCACAGCACTGACACACACCCTCAGTCCCGGTTCACACGCCCGGGCAGGGAGACGCAGACAATGCCAGCAGCCCCGACCTCGGGGCAGCCAGTGCCACCCTGGCAGCCACCATCGGCAATGACACCCCGTCCCCCAAGGGACAGTCACCCACAGCCTGTCCCCGGGCACATGGGCACTGTCACCCAAGGCTGGCTCCTCTCCCCGCCAGCTTGGAGCCAGCAAAACACAGACGGCAGCACCAGGGCAGGTCAAGCATCAGCCTGCGGTGCCCCACCACTGCCCACAGCGTCGCTTCGGGGACAGGCCTCTGGGGACAGGCTGGAGCAGGGCAGGAGAGGCACAGGCAGCAGGGCAGCTGGGAGGGCACAGCCAGGTGCCCGTGGTGGGTGCCAGGCAGAAGGAAGGGGCATCCAGCCCCCCTTTCCCAGGCCCATGCCCTGTCAGGCTCTGGGATGGGGGTGTGGGGAGCAGCCATGGGGGAACTGCACCAACCCCTGGGCTGTGGCAGAGGCTGCTGAGCTCCCACGGCACAGCCGAGCCGGTGGTGACGTGCCGAGCTGGAGAGCAACAAGGGGAACTTGGGATCTTGTGGCCAGAGCACAGCCAGAGCTGCTGGGGGGTTTCCAGGGTTTAAAATACACGCGGAGGAAAGAGCTGGAGCCGCTGCTGCACCCTGGCACCCCCAGATCAAACCATGACTGTGGTCACAGCACAGCCCCAAACAGCCCAAGGGCAGGGGCAGGAACACCTGCCCACCATCCATCTGGGCACAGCAGCAGTGGCGACAGGAGGTGCCCTCGTCCTTGGGGTGACCCGTGTGGCACCGTCAGTGCCGAGGGCAGCCGGCCCAGCCACAGTCCTGAGAACCTGTCTGCTAGCATCACGCTGGGAAAACAGAAACCTGGCTGGAAGGCAGGGCATGAGATCCAGCCCTGCAGGGAGCAGGTGCTCAGCACCCCCCAAGAAATAGGGCCTGTGCCTCACAACGCGGATGCGGCACCTACCAGGGCTGGGCCGTGCAGGATCCTGCTCCGCTCCCGGCAGGCTGCCCGTGGTGTTGCCCTGCCCTGCCCTGCTTGGAGCCCTCCAAGGAGCGAGAGCTGTGCTAACTATTTTGGACATGGCACCACGGGACTGTCACATCACCGCTCCGCACGTCGCATCACGTTGCTCTGACGGTTTCACAGAGTGGCTCCCGCACTGGGAGAGCTCCCGAGCTGCTGCTCCCAAACACAGGCGCTGGCGGGCAACCAGCTCACCCTCCCTCTCCGCCGTGGAGAAGGGTTGGAGAAGCCAGGGGAACCTGGATAAGAACAGACCCCTGCCTGCTCCCTGCCTTGGTCCTCGTCCTTCTGCCCGCCGTGTCCACTGCCCACCTGGGCTGCTCCACAGGGTCACACCCTGCCCTCAATGCCCTTTGTGACTTCCTGGCCTTCAGTGCCACTGGCTACCCCACACCATGGTGGGACCCGGTCCTGGGAGTGAAATCCCGTCCCCACTGGCAGCCAGGACACGGCACACCAGGGGAGCCAGAGCACTGGGTGGCAAGACAGGGAGCAGCCAGGGCTGCCCAGCCACACGGGTCACCCACATGGGACGAGTCACGGGTGGTCCTTGAAGAAGGACATGGTGCAAAACCGCCCATGCTGCTCTATCACCATCCTCTGCTCGCGCTAGAGCTGCCAGCGACCCACGCTGGGGGTGTGTGGGGGGACCAGGGTGGCCGGGAGCAGCTAGCCCTGGT